ATTCTAAAAAGTCGCTAAAAGTCAAAAACATTTTTTATAATTCATATTATATTATGTAGGATTATAATTGACGTCTTATTGTTACAAAAGAAAATATAACATTTGTATATGATATTAGGCCCTCAGATCTCGTCAGTTGCCTTCGCCCTATCCTTTATATAAATATATATATATATATGAATATTAATTGTAATACCCTTAATGATTTTTAGTTGCAAGCAAATGGTACACGAATGTATTTAACCAACAAGTTGAAGATCGATGAAAATGTCGTGGAAGGAAAGTTGTTCCTGTGCCTTAACAGACCACGGTTATCGACCAGAAATTCGTCACATGGTCGTTGGGTACATCAGGGTGATTTTGGTTGGATCGTCTGGCCTGTACCACCGATGTATCTGTTTCGTAGATATGCATACGAAGTGTGAGTATGTTATAGATAAACTTTACATATCGTTAGTAGTATTTCACTAATGAGTGAAATAGTAACGCATTAAGTTACTTAAGGAATATTAAATAATTACCAAGTTCAAATAATATCTTCCTGTTTTGGTGATAATTATTTGTTGATCAAGAAAAATTTAACTTCCCGTAAAGATAATTGCGCAAAATCCGTGACTTCGATTCCACAATGCTGGCTATTTTATTATTTCAATTTATATTGAAAATTGACGATTATTATTTAAGACAATTTTTTATTTTAATTGTCATTTCCATACCTGTTATTCAAGCTAATCCCCTAGGATTGAACCTGGGCAATTTTTATTTAAATAACAAGTTGTTTGAAATTATTACTTGAACATCTATTTGTTAATATAATGCTCAGGTTCGATTACAATATTCGTGCACCGATGGTAATCACTAATCTTGATTAAATAATTGTCGGTTTACAGCACCGAACCTGCAAGTGAATCTAACTCATTTGAGACAACAACAAGCGACTATGGAAAAAAATACAAACATCGCGGTAACAAGTTACATTTTTTAAATGACACGGCTTGGTCCTATACAAAAATGAACCGGACGAACACTTTAGTCACCGGTAATGGCCTCAGGTGCAAATTCCTCGTCAAAGCCGTTAAAAAGGTATACTTTTTTTTACGCTCGAGTCTCGTTCAGTCAAACATCAGAAAACTATCAGATTCTAAAAATTATATAAACTCATATATGTTTTTTACAATCACCTTTTTTTCAGCCAAACTTATTGGACGACTACAGCAAGTCGGAACCCTCAAACCTTCAGCGTGAAACAGTTTATTTATGTGAGCACTAGTCGGCCGTAGCGGATAAATACAGAAAAAGCGATAATAGATGTAAGTAAAGGTTTTAGGTTTTCTTTTCGTTTTAGCTGTAACTGTCCATTTTATTTGACGTTTTACAATTATTTCCCTTTCCTTAAGTGTTCTTCAGGCGGTTAACTACTTCAAAATCATTTGTGAATTTAAAAAAAAAATTAACGAAATTTAGTAATTATTAAAAATTGTAAACAATTTAAAAATCAAAATAGAAGAAGAAAAGGGGGTTTAAAAATACCGTTTATGCACCTTTATTTTATACAGCTGATTAATAATATAGCTTCGTGATGACACTTCATTTACTGAACAATTTTTGTTTTTTTTTTCAGAACGCCGAAAAAATTGAGTAATGCTAATTATGCCTGTACTCGAATTGCACCCAAATTTAGTTGTTTGAGAGGGTACCTGAAGTCGCACATATCACCTAAATTTTTTTTAGAAATTATATTCACTATTAAACTATATGCACGAGTATTTTGCACTCATTCTAAAAATCGATTTTATTATAATTTTATCGAATTATAAATATAAAGTTATTATACTCATTCGGTGTGTTATGTCAAAAATATATATTGAGTAAAAATAATATGTCTTATACTTGTATTTAATTAACTAATCTAATTAAAATAGAAAATTATAAAACAGATTCACATTAAATATTTTTAAAGATTGCAACATTCACAAGGATACTATAACAATTGAGACAAATTGTTTGTAAAGACGATCCAGGTGATTTAAACCAAATATTTACTTCTTTTACATGTTTATCAAAGAATAGATAACATTAAGTAGGTGTTATTGTTTTTAAATTAATCAGGTAAGGATAACCAGAACATGTTTTCAAACAATCGTCATTAAATATTTCAAACAGGTTCTGTATTTTATATAAAAGTATTCGGTATTCGGTTTCTAAAATAATATTCACAAACGATATTGAAATTTACTCAATCAATGTTAGCTTTACAAGTAGATCAATGTACAATACAATGTTTTGCATACAATCAAATTGTAAACATCAATTTAGTATTTACGAAAAAAAAAAATTGTTAAAAGATGAAGTGGCATACTTACAATTTTTTTTTCAGAACGCCGAAAAATTTGAGTAATACTAATTATGTCTGGACTCAAATTGCATCCAACTTTAGTTGTTTGAGAAGGTACCTCAAGTCACACATATCACTTACAGCTTTGTAAATAAATTAGCCCTAAATTTTACTTATGGTATATATAAGTACAGATTGTAAATATTTTCAAAAAAAAAAATGTTTAAAAAAATTATTTAAAAAATGCAAAAAATACAGTAGGTCAAACCAAAATTATTTTTTTACCATTTTTACTTGTTCTTGTACTAGTTTTCTAGCATTCTTTAATTGATAATCGCTAAAATTAAAGATATAAAATTGCAATGATTTAACTTATTAAAAAACTGTTTGTCCACTGGACACCGGCCTGTCACCGTTGTGCCTACATCCCCACAATAAATTACAAGTGGTTTATTTGTAGAATTCAGTAATAATTATAGTCTGTAATAACCGTTAAAACCAAAATACTCATTAACTGGAACCTTGCATAGTTTATGTCATACATATTGGCAGCTTGCAACAGTTTTTAAAAAATAATGAGTAATTAAGTATGAATAATAATAAATGTTACTGAATGTGTTGTATCTACTATTGATACTAGTTACCTTGAACCCTATTTTTGCAAGTTAAAACACCGATAATATAAGTATACATATATCATTAAGGAACCCTTAATTGTGAACTCAATGAAGAGTAGAGACTGTGTACACATTATGACTTCCAGTTTTTTAGAAATTATATTCACTTACAGACTTCATGCACAAATTAAACTCATTCTAAAAATCAATTGTGTTATAATTTTATATAATTCTAAATATAATGTTATTTTACCGATTAGTTGCAGAATAGCAGTCCAAATACTGTTTAGGCTAAAAATACTGTCCTAACAGTCTGGAACCAATTTTTAAATTAAATGTTAAAAACTTCTAAAAGCTGAACTTTGACATTGCTTAATCAAGGAATAATTTTTCAATTGTTAACTCCTAACATCATTCTGAGCTAGTTACTCCATCCATTAGTTACAATTACTTAGTCGATCTTCTTGAACACACAAATCTTGTAACCCTATGCTATAGGTTACAATAAAATTGGTCCTGGTTCATTGTTAACTTAAGCTTGTTTGTTTAATAACAAACAGTGAGTAAAAATGTACATTTTTAGTATAATAATAGTCAATACCTATATTATAATATTTTAGCAATATGCAGTGTGTCGAAGAGGTCTGCCATTATATTTTACATTAAAACAATTACTTTTTTTAACGACAAACATAACTGTCATAGGGTACCAAAATTTTGGACATACCTTCAAGCTATTCCAAAAAGATCCTAAGCGTGACACCAAAGGCATATATATTTAGCTAACGATAAGCAGTGTGTCAAAGCGTGTTAACATTGCAACCAAGACTTGGTTGCATTAGTACATACGAATCAAGAAAAAAGTGTAACATTTCATACGTTGTTTATTCAGGTTTGTAGTAAAGACAATGGGTAAACTAAATTTCAATTTACTGTTCAGCATATCACAACTGATTAACACAAGAAAAGTTAAATCAAATATGTGTAATCCGGTATAATTATCGTTTACAACAGCGAATGGTGAAATATACGGTTTACTAAATTACAAAGCCGACAATAGTTTTTAAATCTTGGCTACCGACAACCTTTATGAATGCTCGTTTTTTTACAATTAAGGTTTATTATACACATCGTATTTGACCAAAAAACGTATATCGTATTTGTTATACATAATAATACGTGACATTTGGTGATGTCATATTTCTTATTACCTTTAACACGGACAAGACTATACGAGTACACCATTTCATGTCCGGTATGTTAAAAATGTACAAGTCATAATATAAGGTTTTTTATTATATTCGTACGAATAGTATACCGTATTTACACCACAAACGCATCGGTTTAACGAAAAAGATGTAATAGCATAAAAGCTTTCTTTTCGACAAAGACCAGTGTTTTTTTGTTTTTATTAAGTAAACGAATCGTGTCAACACCAAAGTCACCGGTCTATCGGGACTCAAAAAACGTACAATACGAAATACTAGCCGGCGTCTGCACTCGCAACCAATCGATACGTACGATTGAGTTGAAGGAAAAATATTGAGTACAAATTTGTAATACCTAGTTTTTTAATTATACAAAATTATTAACTACGAGGCACGAGCAGCAAAGTATCCGAAATGCAAAATGAAAGAAAATAGTGATAAACGACTGGGATAGGGACGCCGATTGTTATCTAGCATGGTTAGGTCGAACTCGGTTATAAATGATAACGCGGTAACTGATAAGCCGTACACACTTCGTATGGCGGTAAACACATAGTTTATTCAAATATTATAGGATTTTCTTGTGAACAAAATATTAGAGCTCATAACAAAAAACAAATTAATAAACACATTCAATCGAATAGTATGTAGTTTTCTCATTTCCTTCGATAAAATACATTTTTAAATAGTTAGAGTATTACAAAATGCGATGCTGTAAATATTTTATACAGCAACATGTACAATATAAAATACAGTATGTATATACGTAGGTATTGTTAATTAAATAAAAATTAGTTATAAAAATACTTTTAACGAAACAATATAACATAGTTTATTTTTAGTATCTGACGATTTTTTACGAAAACATAATTACGATAGTTAAAAAAAAACGAAAATTCACAACTCAATCCTAACTGTGTGACACTAATAGTGTAGGTATCTATTTTTATATTAGCATACAACTAAAACAGTGTTACTGTAAAGTCCTTAAATTCATATAAAGATTAAATTAATAATAAATCATAACCAATTTTTTATATTGACCATATATTCTTTAATGTTCTTCTACTTCACAGAATTCTCTCTTAAAGTTCTATATTCTCTAAATATTTTGTTTAATATTCAATCTATACTCTCTTCCAAAAAACTGTTAATAGTATTGTCCAAATGATATTAGGTATCAAATTTACATTATTTTATTAAGCTTGATTTGTCATGCAATATCATGTTCTCAGCAGTAGCGTATCTAGAATTTTTCAACGGTTAGGGAGGGGGAATACAGATTATAACATCCATACCTATTCAATATAAACATATATTCATATTATTATATACATGTTGCATGTAAACAAAAGTTTGGATTCTTAATTACAAAACAAAGTCTAATTTTCTCGAGGACAGTGAAAGAATATTGAGTACTTCATTAGGTGTGACTGTTATATTTTTGTGTACTGTTAGGGCCCTAGGGGGGATACAACCCACGTATACCCCCCTCCCCGTAAGTCCGCCACTGGTTCTCAGTTATATGACCATTAAGACAATTACAATTTTAGTCTAAATAAAAATCAAATTAAAAAAAACATACTCCAGTGTACCCTTTTAAATGAATAATTTCCAATCGGTCACGCAATGTTTGCGGAATAAATGTCACTTTTAAATAAATATATATAGTTTTATTAATCGTTTGATGTCCAGTCTTCTTATAAAATATTTACTGTTGATAATTTTTAAAAATAATCTACACTTTATTCCACCTAAGTAAAACAACTATACTGTCTCTCTAAACTAATAATAATCAATTAATTTTTCTTACAGCGATAGTGTAATATTCTTTGTTTCAAATTGCACATGCCATAATTGGTAATCCTGCAGAATCTCTATAAAATTGTATTTATTTAAATTACTAATATACAAAACCAATAATTAATTAAAATACTTATAAATTTTTCTTGTTTTTGTCAAGTCAAGTGTCTCATCAATAAATTTTCCCCATGGAAATTCAAATTAAAACTTCATGTGATTTCTGTACCGTTTCAGATGGGCACGCATTAAGGTCAGTACCGCTAGGCCGGAAACCCGGGAAGAGCGGGAACGGCGGCCAAATGGAAGAAGCCCTTGGGCTTATTCAGGGTCCCCAAGGTCTACCAAGAGGTGACTACGGCCTGTATCGGTATGGTCGTATGTCAGGACCAAACGGACATTCCGGATATAGACGCTATCCGGGAGCTGGAGGAGTTACCGGGACCAGAGTGGCCGGTGGACTGGGAAGCGGTACATGCCTCACGCCACCAGATGCGGAACGTCCAGCGAATGGTATAAATCACCACCCGATGGGCTGACCGACCGTCATTTCCGCAACGTGTGTCATAGTGTTCTATGTTCTATACTGTCTCATTGAATACAGCCGTTGGTGACTTTAAGAGTTGTGTTTATCTTTATTTAATTTAAGAAGTTCCTCCGCTCGGTCGAGCACTGTATCAGCCTTTTTAAAATGGAGATAATTCAATAATTGTATATACAATACATTTGTATATTTAGTTATCCGGAATTAAATAGCATGCAGTTAGACAAGACCGACAGAGAAAAATATCAATCTAATAATGAAGGTGTCAGTGTAGTTTTTTTATTTTAGATTTTGAGCTAAGCGAGAAACACATTAACAGTATAATGCAACCAA